GTGGATGTTAGCTCAGAGCTAATTTTCCTTAAAAAAAAAAAAATGATAGCAACCATTCATACTTTACTATGAGTGAGTTTATCAGATACTCTGATGTTTATAGATTTCACTAGAAAAGAAGCAGATGAAAGCATAAGCTGTGGAAATGGGAGGCTAGAAAAAGATGTGGCTTTAGGAGAAGGGGAGTTGGAGAAAAAATGGAGAAAAATGTGAGGCTGAAGAAACCAAAGAAGAAACTTTCTTTTTTCTTATTTTTTTCCCAATGTCCTCCCTGTCTGTCTCTCTCCTGATGTTGCTTCTCTTCCTGATGTGTACATGTAAGGCCTTCCTGCGTACCTGTGTATACTCATAGGTATACCAACCCAATTTTAACAGTGCACGGTGTTAACTGAAACCAGTTCAACATCTGGCATTGAAGCCGTGGAAAATCTACTACATTTTCGGTCAAATACCTTTCATTCACTCATTTCTTGAACAAATAATGACTCATCACTGTGCTGGGCATTGGGATACAGAAATGAACAAGACAGATAAGTTGTTTTTCCCTGTATAGTGAAAATATTTGTGGCCTTTGTCTAACTAGACTGTCCCTGAAAGAAAAAAGAAAGATGCCTGTTTGGCTTAGGTTGGTGCGAATGTGTGTCTGCAAGTGTCAGACATTGAACATATTAGGAAATCAGTGTCTTTGGGGGGTTTTCTATACATATTTCTAATTATTTTGAAAATCCAAGTTACCTTGAATGAATGCCTTCGTTGCTCATGCTGCAAATGAAGCCATTATCTCTTTCTGTCTTCTGGTCATAATGTTATACATAGAGAATAAAGTCCTGGAATGCTATTTCACATGATAAAAATGCCAAAATTTAATTTAAAAAAAGCAAAGAAAAATAAAGTAGAGCACAGATATTTGCTTTTGTATTTATTTACTAAGTATTTAAAGCCAAACACTTAAAAGCAAGCTGGTTAATATTTCTTTGGAGGGTTTTTCTGCAAAGGATGTACTTACTGAGAATTCTTAAAAGTGAGCCCATTCAAATCTAGACTAAAGATGGCTCCTACCATCAGCATAGTCACCCTTTCCTGCCGGAAGAACCTTGATATTATGTGGAACTTAGGAGGCATCTTTCTCAAGCATCTCTTTGGCTCATCGAACGTGTGTGAGGCCTTTGAAATTGCTTGGATGGTAACAGCTGAGGAACACCCTTGCCCTGTTCACTAGACAGATGGGAGGTTAATCTCTCAGGGGTCACAGGCTGTTTGTTCTGGCATGTGCAGACAAAATCCTCAATGCCCCCACCCGGGATGACTGGCTATGTTGTTTGTGGGACTCAGTGCAAAATGAAAATGACGGGCCTTTTGTTCAAAAATTATTAAGAATTTCAAGAAGGTGACAGCAGAACATTGAGCCAAGTGCAGGCCCTTCTGAGCACGGTGCTCTGGACAAATGCAGTTTGCCTGCCCCTGAGGCCAGCCCCGCACCCATTGGAGAGACATACAGCTTTCAGAGACATTGGCCATGTTCTCTTCCTTACCCCGTACCCCAAGCTCTATAGCACTTCTGCTCTTCTCCTGGGCTCTGGCTCAGTTCTCCTTGTTCGGTGTATTCTTATCCTATCTGGAGCGATGTCCCTCTCTCAGCCTCTCTCTCAGGTTCCCTTTCTTCCTAACTCCGGCATTTTGATACTTCTAGATATGGCCTATCCAATCTCTGGATGCAAATTCAAGGCTTATTCCAAGATTAGTTCCAGTCCCAGATACATATGAGTCTTTGAAAATTTCCCTGTTATTTCCAGGTCTTCCTCTTTTTTGGTGCCAAAATGGATTTTAATTATGAAGTCCTAATGTGCATGCAAGTGTGATGAAGTGGACACATGGGAGGTGGGATGCAAGGGGATAATCTGGCTTACTTAGAAGGCCAAGAAAGAGCCAAAGAATGAAATGATGCTCCCAACCATCCCCTTCACTTCACCTCTTTGCTACTGTCCCTTTGATTTTTTGTTGTATTCCTCAATTCTCCACATTTCCAACCTCATATCATTTCTCCTGGTCTCAGTCTTCCAACCTGCTTGGTGCAGGTTCAGTTCTGCATGGAGCCCTTGCTGAGGCTATCCTGGACCCACAATGAGATAGGGAGCCCAAAGGTGAATACACAACAATGGGCCCAGGAGCAAATGTTCACCACAGCATCGTGCATCCCAGGGCCATGAACTTCCTCTAACACATGTTCTAAAGGAAGAGGAAATGTTTGACACATCTCTCAGATTGCCTTTGTGGAAATTACTTTTAGAAGGTTCTTGTCTAGCAGCATAACTAGATGACTCATGTAAGAGTCTTTATTCATTGACCCTTTTTTCAGAGGACTCAATGAAATGACTCACATCTCTATTTACTATATCTTATTGGGAATGTTAGGTGAAATCCTTTCCCCTGGGAACAGGAAGTTTTTGGTGTTTCTTACAGAGATTAAACACCATTGGGGGCACCAGAGCACACGTGTTGTTGATGGACTGACTCTGTCAGGGATGCTCAGCTGGTCAGCAGAGCAACATTTCTCGGGGAGGGCATATCAGTTTTAAAAAAGCATATCTGGCATTAGTATTGTTTTAATAATCCAAATCCTCAGAAAGTAAGGCTGGAGGAAATGTTTCCTGTTGTGACTATTTAGAAGAGAGACTGAGAATAAGAAAGCATTGTGGGAGCATTGTCAAAAGTCTCGGGAACTGAGTCGTGGACACTGAGTCAGACTTTTCCTCTGAAGGACGCCAAGGTATCTGCAGTCAATGGGCAATAAGGGGAGGTGGAATCAACTGAGGGCCCCACTAGGATCATTGCCTGTACCAAAAGGGCAGACCACGAATTCATCAGCCACAGACTCCAGACTCAGGAGTGAGCAGGGCAAGCAACAGCCAGGCAGATAAGGGACTTTGCCAAAGGCCAGTGGAAGCCACACAGTGTATGCTCTAGTGCCTGCCGAAGTTCAGGGGACCGCTCTTCCCCCGTTACCACAGGACAAATAAGCCACATATCCATCCCCCAAACGTCAGATACCATCTGGGAGAAAGAAGCAGGCAGAAGGGAAGGCTATGTGAGAGACTGAGCAATTATACAGGAGAAGCAAAACACTACCTGAAGAAATAATTTAAGCTACCACATGGACTAAGCTTCAACCCAGATCAGACACTTACTTAAAATTTTCCCAGTAGCCATTCGATGGGAGCATGAAAAAATGATAAGATTATTTATGGACCAAACAAAGTCATTACAGTTCTGTCTACACATCAAATGTACCATGCCAGAGTTAGCAACCCTGCTACACAGTTGATTATTTACCTGTTATATGCCAGACACTATACTCGATGTGGGGGGACACAATCTAGCTGAAGGGAGAGGCAGATGGGTAAGTAATTTTTATGTAGCACTGTTAGTAAGCTCTATGACAGAGGAGCACCTCAACGACATGGGGGCCCAGCAGAGAGGCATTTAATTGAGAATACAGACTCAGAAAGGGCTCCTGGGGAGTTGAGACTCGAGCTCAATTTGAAAGGACAAGTAGGAGTTAACCAGAATTTAGGCTCTAGATGAAGAAAGGAGGTAAGCACTTTCCAAGCCAAGAGAACAGTAGTGGAGAGATACTGGGGTGGGAAAGTGCGTGATGAGGTCAGAGGAGGGAGAGGGTTCTACGTCACTGGGGTGTGAAGAAGAGGCAAGAGATGATGGTCAAGAGATCAGAAGAGTCCCATCAGGACAGACTTGTGTGCTGAGCTAAGGTGTTTGAATTTTGTCTTGAAAGCTATAAGAAAATCATTGAAAACTTCTAACAAGGGGTAGGACAGAATCAGATTCTCCTTTGAAAAAGATAATTTAGGTGGCAAGGCAGAGGATGAGCAAAGGAGGGCAGGGAAAGGGAGACCAGGGAAGTGACAATTGCAATCACCTGGTGAGAAATGGTGAGTGCCTGAACCAAGATGGTATCTTGGTGAATGACGAGGAGGATGCAGATTTAAGACACATTTGGGAGACAACATGTACAGGATTTTATAGCTGATTGGATGTGGGAGGTGAAGGAGAGGGACTCGCAGAGTTCTGGTGGATTGTAGTGCCCAAGTGGGTACCTTATCCCAAGGAGAATACGTGACAACAGTGAGTTTGGGGGAGAAGATGCTAAGTTGGGTGAGCAATCGATGTGTTTGCTGTGGCACCAGACACCCAAGTGTATCTGTCCAGTATCAGTCAGATGGTCACTAATAGTCAATGCCTTTGAGAAGTAAAACAAGGACTTGGGCTTGTTGTTGGGCTTGTCAACAACTGTTTGGCAGTTATTAGGGACCTTAATAACAGCATGGTCAGTGGAGTGGTTGAGATAAAAGCCAATTTGCAGTGAATTGAGGAGTGGCCAACAAGAAGGTGAAGCTAGTATCTTCCCCTGAATTAAGTTTGCTCCTCCTGCTGTACCCTTGTCTTGGTGAAGGGCCCCACCCACACTGGGCAGTCTTCATCACTGACTCCTGGCTCTTTTTCATATCATGTATTCAGTCAATTACAGAGTCCTTTGGATTCTATTCCCTGAGGATCTCTTGATCCCTCCCCTGCTCGCCACACCGCCTCCCACCTTAATCCAGTCGTTCCAAGATTGCTGTCTCAACTTCCAAACAGTACTGAAGAATCTTTTAACAACACAAATCTAATCAGGTGACTCTTTGGCTTAACATCACTAGGCGGCTCTGATAACCTTCTGGATAAAGTTTAGACTCTTTGGTGTGACATATAAAGCCCTTCATGACTGGCTCCCTGAACTCCCCTCCAGCCTTTACTCTCCCTGCTCCTCCTCCTTCCAGCTCATCCCTCCTCCAGATCGTCTCTGCCCTGCTCAGACTGAAATCAAGTGGTCCCTTCTCTCTCACTTCAGCTCTCACAGCATCCCGTGCTCATCTCTAGCATAACACTTACCTCACTGTCGTTGTTGTTACCTGCTAGTTGTCTTTCTCTCCGTCTCACTCCAGCTCCTTGAAGATACGGACCACATCTTGGTCATCCTCTGTATCCATAGCAGCTGGCGGAATAACTGGCAGAAATGCACAAACTCAATAAACGTAAGTCGAATAAATAAATGAAGAAGATATTGATTCTCCAAGAAGCTTGATTGTGAAGGGATAAATGATTAAAAGCGGTGTCTTTTTTTTTTAAGATGGGAGAAAATTGAGAATTAGATGCTGAAAGGAATGAGCCATTAGAGAGAGAGGTTGAAATATAGGTGGGAGAGAAGACTACTGTTGGAGCCATGTGCCTGAGGATGCAGGGATGGGTGGGTGGGGGTGGGGAGCTGGAAGACGCAGGAAGCACGGGACCTGAGGGCGTGGAGTCACCACTTCCACTGAGAGAGCAGGGAGGAGGGAAGGGTGGACTTAGAAAGAGGAAAGTTCCTCAGTGGTTGAAAACAAAGTTGAGGGATTTTGCCCCTGATGGCCGCCAGTGACACAGGAGGCAAGCTCTGAGAATGGATGGGGAAGTGCTAGGGTGGGAGTGTGAGGAGAGAAGAGAAGTTTGGGAGGGGTCATTCAGGGTGACCTAGGTGATGAGGTGGCTTGGAAGTCCAAAGCGGGTGTATATCATCATAATTCCTCAGGGCCCAGGCTGGCTGAGGCTCCATCCCCTCCCATGCACCCAGGATCGCAGAGGCAGGAGAGATGGCGGACGGCTACCCGTATGCAGGCTCTTGAAGGTTTCTGTCTGGAAGTGACGTGTAACTTCTCCCTCATACCTCATTGGCTGGAACATGTTGCATCGTCACACCTTCCTCTAAAGTAGGACAGAAAATGCAGTTTCTGCATGCTGAACACAGAGGAAAACTGGAAAGCAGGAGGCGGCACTAAGGACCACCTCACCTCACCGCTGACGGGAACAAGAGAGGGAGCTGCCTGGCATCATGTAGGACATTTGCTGGATGGACTCACTAAGATTCAGCCAAGTCGAAGGCATGACATTGAGAGCCGTCAAGCCACACAGTAGTGTTGTTTCTATTGAGCAATGCTCAGCAGCCAAATGAAAGGCACACTGAACAGCCCCCAGCAATCTGATGGATAGATTGGGTGTGAACAGAGAGGATGGGGTGGAAAGCTAAGGAGAAAGCCTTTGATGTAATGAGGGAGAGAGGGATTTAAGTGACTTATCATATGATCGCTGACACTAATGATAGCAGTGGTTTGGAGAAAATGGGGTAGACAATAGGATAGAGTTTTGATTCATTTGAGGTAGAGGTGTATTGAGAACAAGAGCGTGAGACCAACAGAAAGATTAGGGGGTGGAGAGTGGGGCTCACGAGGTCAGCAGCATGGTTGTTCAGGGTCATGCTGAGCCAGTCATAGTGTGGTGGCCGGAGTACCATTGTCATGAATGTCTTTGAAGTCGTGAAAAATCAAGAAATTGCAAGGCCAGAGTGCTAACTGGATCATTCACAAGGACATAGGGGATGCAGGGATGCTGTGAGTTCAGAACCGAAACTCTCAGCAAATGTGAAAGCTAACAGGATGAGAGGCGACAACAGGGAGGGGTCGAGGATGACCCACCAGAAGGGCATTAGCCTCTTGATGAGAAGGTAGAGGATAGTGGCAAGAGGGAGCTAGGAAACTTCTCACACATTGACCTTTTCTTCTGGGCCATGGGAAGGGGACGGGTGTGGGAGTGAGCCGTCTCCACTTCAGGAGAGATCATCCGTCTTCTCTTGGTAACACAGCAACCTGGAGAAAGCCTCTTGTTGAGCAGACATTCTGCGTATTTTCCAGCTTCCTCTATATGCTGATGAGTCCCAAATTCAGGCTTCCACGCAGACCTCACTTCCGAGACTCACACACCCAAATGCCAGCTCACCATCTCTCCCTGCGTGTTCAGAGACAACTCTAACACGTGTCCAAAATTGACTTCCCACCTTCTGCGGCACGTGCCCTTCCCCATACTCACAACCATTTTATATTTTCCTCCTTGTGGTGGCGAATTACAGTCTTATCTCCTTGTTGCTTGTGTCGGAAGTCTAGTCTGAATCCTTCCTCTCCAAGTCCTCTGTATTCAGACAGCCCCATCAGTCCCATCCAGCCCTCCCCCACCCCCGACACTCGGCTCAGAGCGTGGTCACTTACATTACTGCAACAGCGTTCCAGCTCCTCTCTGGCTCTCGGCTCACTCCCACTCCCACCTACGGTTCACATTGTTGACATGGCAGCTGGGTTCATCTTTATGAAATTGAAACCTTTTGCCAGGACCTGGGAAATGCAGGGCCCCAGCTTGGGGCTGGGAATTTAATCTCCTCTTCCCACACGCTCCACTTTCCCATCCCACGGCTGATGCTGGCTCCCAAGGGGTTGCAGCCTCCACACTGGGATGTGGTTGCTACCCGGATCAGGGGTGGACAAGAGGCCCCCTCTGGATTGCTCACCGAGTGTGCCGTGGGGCTGCCAGCCTGGGGTGGGAATGGCCGTTGCCTTGCTCTGCCCTGAGATGCCATGAGGCTGTGTCCAACCTTCCACACGTGTGCACCTAGGCTTCTGCCAGGGGTAGAGGGTGATGGTGGAAAATGTGCCTCCCACCTTCATCTCCCTGGGTGCAGGGTACAAGCTAGAGTGAGGCAAGGGTGGGGAGGGGGAGTGAGGCAGGGCTGGGGCACCAGGAGACAGGCAGCAGGTGGCCAAGTACACATCCTAGGAGGCAGGGAAGTGTCAAGAGCTGGAACCACACATGAGCAGAGGCTCCAAGCCCCTGACATGCTCCACATCCCATTGGACTTCACTTACAGAACACATATTCAAAGGTAAAATTCTTAAGAACTTCAAGACAGTAACTACAGAGCATTAAACCCTAAGGTTCCAAAGTGCACTACCTGTGCAACTGCACAGGCCACATGATGCTGGCCCTGCTTCTTCCCTCCCCTCCGTAAAATCCTTCAGCACATCACGTCCTTTTTTTTTATTTTTCTGTTAGGAAAAAAAGTTCAGATGCTTTAACTGGGCTTTTATTGTTAGGCCTTCTGACATACTGTTCTAGCTGCCTGGAACACATTAATCCCCTCCCCATGACCTTTGGCCTAACTAAGTCTTGATCATCATAGAGGTCTTGGTTTCAACACCACTTTCTCTGGAAACTTTCCACGACCCTCTTGTTTAAGTGTCTCATTTGTTTGAGCCACGCAGCACCAAGATGAAATACAGAGGGAACTTCGCAGGGGAAGGCCGGTCACACACATCACCAAATGAGGACTGAAATAAACACAGAGCTCGGCAACTGGGTTCCAGGCCTTGGCTCAAGGAGGGATGGGGGTGCCCCTCGGACTTGGTAGGGCCTGGGCTGGAAGCCTTCGTGACTCTGCCTTTATTAACCTGTCCCTCTCCTGACACTGCACTTACCCCGGGGCGGCCTCGCCTGTGGGTCCGCATCTCTGTCACTTGCCATGTGCCCTCTGTGGAGGCTGGGATTTTATCCCCATCATCTGGCACACTGCTCGCCACACGCGAAGTGCTCAGGCGGTATCTGCCGGCTGAGTCAACGGAGGGAAGAACTGAAGTTGTCTGCTCAGGACATGGTGGCAGTCTAAGACTGCCAATCCTGCGTTCTAGTACCAGAGTTCCCCCAAATAATACAACCAGCCTCTAAGGTAGAGGGTCTTAACCGGAGGGACACAGGGATTCCCAGAGAATCCATGGATCTGCTTGGGGTGGAAGGACTACAAATCCCAAAACTGGAAAGCAAGGTTGTGTGGGAACATGTAGTTTGGGGAGAGAGATGATTTATAATTTTCATCAGAAACTCAGAAGAGTCTTGACTCCCCACAGTTCACAAAGCTTTGCTCTGCACGGTGGTTCTGAAAGCGTGGTCCCCGGAAGGGCCTCACGCAGCATCGCCTGGAGACTTTATTAGAAATGTAGTTCTCAGGCCCCGCCTCTTACCTGCTAAGTCAGAAGCTCTGTATGTGGAGCCCAGAGACCTGTGTTAGGAAGTCTTTCAGGACACTCTGGGGCACACTCAAACTTGAGAACCCTTAAAGAACTAGAAATGGAGGCCGGCCGGGTGGCGCAGTGGTTAAATGTGCACGTGCCGCTTCACCGGCCCAGGGTTTGCCGGTTCAGATCCCGGGTGCGGACATGGCACCGCTTGGCAAGCCATGCTGTGGTAGGCGTCCCACATATAAAGCAGAGGAAGATGGGCGTGGATGTTAGCTCAGGGCCAGCCTTCCTCAGCAAAAAGAGGAGGATTGGCAGCAGTTAGGTTAGGGCTAATCTTCCTCAAAAATAAATAATAATAATAATTAGAAATAGAATGTTGTATTTCCAAATCTCTAGAGGTAAAAAGTCAGGTTGAAAAAAAAGTCAGAGACAGAGACAAAGCATAGAAAACAGAAAACAAAAATAAAGTAGTAGAAATAAGTCCAAATAACAATAATCAAAATATATCTGAACATACTAACGTCATCAGTTAGAAGACAGAGAGGCCTGGCGGATGGGTCTAGAAAGGAAAACTTGTTAACGTTTACGAAGAGCCCTCCCCTCATTCTCCTGCAGGTCCTGTGGTTGGTGGTTCTGCGAGGTCACAGGCTGGTCCAGTCGCGTGAGGCAGCGCCGAGCAGAGCGGGAGCCGGGGCCCTTTCTTCCCCACCCATCTGCCAGCGGGATTGGGGCCTTTCTCTCCAGGTCTCTCTCCATGGCCGCAGGGTGGTGGGAACGCATGAATGTGATGACCATCTATTATCTCCCGGCCAGCGCGTCAGCACTTATTAAGCCATAAAATTAAATCTCTTTTTCATGTAGGATTACTCACCAAAAACATTTGTTTTATTCTAGTAGGTTTTTATATGGCCTCGAATTAGTGAAGGTTTTCTTTTGCTTTGTTTTTGTTTTTTATGGCTTGAGCCTCACAAAACAAGAGAATAGGAGAAAGGTCAAGAGGCTGCTTGTGAAAGAGAGCAAGAAGGCAGCAGGCTGTGCTCAAGGAGACTCCCATGGAAGTCAGAGAAGGTGCAGCCTCTGTTGGTAGACAGAGTCATCAGTAGGGCTGGGAAAATGGACTCACGAGTAGAGATTGTCTTGACATCGACAAGAAAGCATTGGACCTAAGAGCAGAGGAGGTAACATCCCCAAGGGCCTTGGAACTTCTGTCCCCGCCCTGAGCTGAAATGAGCTGAGGTTTCTCCAGCGCCTGGCTGAGATGGGCAGACAACAGAAGAGCCGGCGCCACGGGAGGACCTCACTTAAAGCTTCGAATGAAGAGGAGCCAGCTCTTTGAAGTCTGAGATACCAGACTTCACTTTCCAGTGATGTGGGTAATTGTTTAATTTCTCTGAGACTAAATTTCCTTGTCTTTAAAATGAGAAGAACAACCACATCACCGAGCTGTAGGACAGTGACGTGAAGTGGCACAGGACAAGTCTGCGCTAAAATAGGATGTGAATTCCCTGGCCTTTCCTCCTCTCCCCAGTGTTGAGTCATATTGATTCAACTTCCCCAGCAAATGTATTTAGTGCAGCACTAACTACTAAGTTCTGCTAGAAAATAAAGCCTCTGCTTGCATTGCAGCTGTCAGGATAATCTGCTTGATAATCTAGAAGTGTTTGGATGCACGTTTCACCCTCTGGACCGTCCTGGGATGTCCGACTCTTTTCTCACCTGCGTTTCCTTCAGTGGTTCAGATATTCTCTCAATATTTGTGTTTGCAGAGATCTATCCCTGGGCCTGAATTTCCCCCGAAGTTCTGGTGGCATGGATCCAAACAGCCTGCAAGCCTGTCCCCTTGGAGGGCTTGCCCTTACCTCACCAAATGCTCTGTGTTTGTTTATTCGCTCAACAAATATGCATGGAATGCCACCAGGTGCCAAATCTTTTCCCAGGACCCACGGTTTTCAGCTAAATTAGACACAGTTCAACCCTCAAGGAGCCCCCCGTTCAGGGGGAGAGATGGATTATGCAATGATGCTGTGGCACGGGATGTGCTAGATTCCAGGGGCCTGGGAGGTGGAATAGTCCAGGCTGTGCTCTCAAAGAGAGGAAAAGCAACCCAGGGACGATGAAAAATGCCACGTCCAAGCTGCAGAGGGCCTGGCCGTGTCAGAGGGCCGCCTGGCCTGGGGGTCCACCGCGCTGCAGGCAGAAAGTGAAGCAATCGCAGCCTGGGAGGCCGACGGCAGGGGAGGGAACATTCCACCAGGGCAAAGCTGGCGAGGGCTTTGGGCCCATCCAAGATCCAGCTCTCATGAAATGCAGGAAGTGTGATGAAGAACCCCGGGCGCCTCGAGGCCTCCCACCCTGGCTTGGGAAAGGGAAGAAAGCGAGTTAGGGGAAGGTTTCGTGGGCTACATTCCCCTGGCTTCTCAGTGAGCACACGGTGGTGTCTGCATTTCTGCTTAAGTCAACATTGTCACAAGACTCAGCGGCTGGGACAGTGTCCTGTGCTCAGATATGCTTGCCAGGCAATGCTGGGGACCAGGACTCTGCGCCCTAGCAGCACTGCACAAACCAATTACTGAGGAGAATTTGTGAAAGAATGAATGGACTAGACACATAAGTAAACAGATATGATACCGTGGCGGTGCTCTAAAACCAATTCCTGTTTCCATTCGCCTTGGAAATCACCGTTCTCACGGTTTCTCGACAACATGAGGTAGTGAAGAAAACACCGCCTTGGGGTCACACGTGCCGGGTTAGATCCCAGTTCTGACCTGCAGTCGCTGGGTGACTTTGGCCTCAATGTCCTGATCTGTAAACTGGCGGGGGTGGGGCGAGGGGGCAGGAGGATTTACTTAGAACTGCTGTATGAAAAGTGAAGTGCCTGGTACGTGTTGAATGTTCGATAAAGGGTGGTTGTTATGACTCTTCTTACTGAGAGCCGAGCCTCTTCTCATTCTGCATCCGTTCACCACACAAGTCCTTTGACATCTCTCTTCTCTGTGTTCCTCTCCCTTCCCTGCCCCATCAGGCCCTTCTCACCAGCCTCACAACGGAAGTGCCCCGATGGCAGCTGTGGCCTCCGCTTCTCATCTCCCCCTATCCCACTTTACCTGCTCATCCCCAAAGCTGGCCCTCCTCACACACTGAAGGGGCCTCTCCCACCCAGGGACTCCTGCCACATGGCCTTACACATTTCTCATGATGGTTGCCACATTCTGCTGGCGCTGTGGTGTCTGAGCACCTGTGGTTGACTCCGTACTGAATCAGGCACCCAGAGTGCAGGATCCAGGCCATTTCTACTGGTTCCCAGTCAGTGCTTGGAAGATTGCCCTGGATCTGTAAGTACTCGTTAGGTATTGACGTCACTACAAAAACCGTCAGCACATATTGAATATGTTAAGAGATGAAGGCAAGGACCTTTACCTGCACAGTTCCCTACACTAACATACCAAGACAGGTGAATAAATGTGATCTAAGCCAATTTCCCGTGGACCGTATCCTCAAATAGCATGTATTTAGCACCTAAGTGCCCATGTCACTCTTCAAAGCAGGCCACCAAAACCATATATTATGGTCTTTAGTTTTCTGGAATTTACCATATAAAATGGAACCTGATGCCACATTCCAGGGCTATTACAAGTCAAATCCCAATACAAACTCTATGAACTTTAAGAGATCATAAAAGACATCATAACAAAGATGACTTTCAATAAGAGAGTTTGGCTGGCAAGGGTTTTGAAATTTCTTGGTTTGTCAAATAGACACTCTGTTCTAATCTAATTTCACTTGTGGCATTACTACAAACTTTATAAATACCAAAGATGCTGTTGGCAGGGGAGATGGATGGAATTGTTGGAAATGCCGTAGGGTGGAAAACACACTAGAGATTAAGGAAAAATGTACAAAGGAAATGAGGAAAAAAATAGACAAAGTGGGGAAGTCGATGAGTTTTTGGTGAAATGGTGCTCTATTCTGTGCCTGACGTCCTTCTGCCTCTGGGTGTTTCTTTAACCAGGTCTTGACAGGCCCTAAAGATGAGAGAGTGATCTGAGAAATCGGGGGAGCAGAGCAGGCTGGTTGGGGAAATATTTGTAGACTGCCCCCTCGTGAGTGGTTCCTATTTTAAAGAACTCGAAAAAGCTAAGACCCGCTTATCTAAAGAAAGATTAACATCAGAAAAATGTTTTCCTTTCCTGCCAGTTCTACCTATCTCAGTCTCTACTACTTGAGATTTCTCTGAATCTCAACTGATGATTGGCACATAGTAGTTTCTCAATAAAATACTTTTGACCGGGTTAAAGTCATGTTTCGGCTACAAGTTCTTGTCACATCAAGTTGTGTTCCGTACAGTTGACAGTAAGATTGGTTTCACTTTCACGATTGTTATGTAGCAAGACACAAGGGTTGGCTCTGTGGCATCTGAAGAGCTGGTGATGGAGGAGTTTCAGCAGGTCATCGTGTATCTCTCCCAGACATCCGACTACGTGTCTGCTAAAAGAAATACGAGCAGACAAAACCTTGCTCATTTTACCTAAAAGCAAAACAATGCGAAACACTGCCATGCCCCAGGGCACGAGTGACAGACAATAAGGCAGCAAATCCCAGTGAACTACTGGGATTGGGTTGTTGCTGGGGCACAGATGGAAACACGTACACCTAATGAATAGGGGCTGACGAACTGGATTCTATGGGAAATGGCAAGCAAGAGGACGGAATGGAACATGGACAGTGAAAAATATCTGTGTTTTAAACAGATCTTCTGATTAAGGAAAGGTGGATTAATTACACAGTCAAGCTTTCTGAAGCTCTGTTAAACTTTGTAGACACACACCTGCAAACCCTACAACAAGACTAAGAGAGTTGGATGCACGGGACAGTTAACAGAAGCGTGAAGGCTGGGGATTTATGTAGGAATACCTGGTGCGTGTGAAACTTCAGCCTCTGTCAAAACACACATTCTTGTTAAAATGCTCATGTCTAGTGTTTATGTCACACCGTGTCTAGGACGCTCTTTGACCGCTCTGTCACATGCTTCCTGAAGGGAACCATATTTGGCCTGAGACGCTGCCCTTGAGGTGCCGTCCTACAGCTGGAAGTTGCCACGGTTCCTCACCGCTCTAGGTTCCACATGGCTGAGGCTCCCAGGTTTTCCTGCCTTGGAAAGGCCCCTGCCCAGCACTGGGGGATTCCCGGGTGTCAGTAAGACCCCCAGGGAGCAGGCGAAAACGAGAATCTCCCCAGGGGAATAATCAGTCTTGGAGCCTTAGCTGTTTATTTCCTCACATTCCTCCTGCCCACCACCTCATAACTCATCTTCTTCCCCCTTCTCCAACACTCTTGACACAGAGCAGAACCAGCAGAAAGGAACATGAGGGTACAGACAAGACAGGCTGAGGAGAGGTTTGGGAAACAAGCCCCGGGCTGGCGGAAAGGTCACAGCAGCAGCAGCCTTTATTTGAACCAAAGGATATGGCAGAGAGGGGATCCCAAGAACTGAAAAGGGGGCGAGGGGAGCACTGCCCAGGGTGAGCAAGCCGGAGAGGCCAGTTTACGCTCCAAGAGGAGTTCAATGGGACCAAGTAGAGGTCCACCCGCCCTCCGGGCGTCTTCAACAAAAGATGGGCATGGGGTGCTGGCAATCCTGCTGCGCTGAGAGGCCGCCTCACCTGTCTCAGGATGCCCCCTTACGTGTTTATCCGGAAAGCACTTTATCAAAAATGGTCATTTGAAGATGGAAGGTAATATCATGCACTCTCCTCCCCTTTCACACACACACACAAACATACACAATGAATATGCCTCCCTGGAACCTCTCTCCATGGTCTGACCACTACTGCACACTGGCCTTCTGAGAGGGCAGGGAAAGACTGCTTTATGGAAAAAGCAACTAAAGTAGTTGAAAAAAAATTTTTTTCTAATTTATGATATTTGTTATTTCACCATTATCGCTTCATTCCTTTGGATCTTTAAAAGTTCCTATTTAATGTTTAAACACCTTTGGGTCAGAGGTGGAAGGTACGCCATAAGCCCATCAGCAAGTAAATAGTAGCTGGTTGTTCGAAAGGTTGCTCTGGGAATCTTTAGTTCTGAACTATTTTGACACCTCAGACACCAGCGCCTGGCTTCGTGCTGTCCAGGACCCCAAGCCTGCTGTGCTGGGACTTAGATCTCACTGAAATGAGCTTTCCCTTCCGGCTGGCTTAGGTTCCAGGACACGAGCCTGGCTAGAGATTTGTATGGCCTCAGGTTCCAAACCAAAATTAAAAGGCAAACAACATATTGGAAAAAATCTCAATATGTGACAAAGGTTAATCGCTTTAATACAAAAAGAGCTCTTGCAAATCAATAAAAGATGAATACTGTGGTAGAAAATTATCAACAACAACCACCAAAAAGTCCCAACAAGGGGCTGGCCCCGTGGCTGAGTGGTTAAGTTCGCGCGCTCTGCTGCAGGCGGCCCAGTGTTTCGTTGGTTCGAATCCTGGGCGCGGACATGGCACTGCTCATCAGACCACGCTGAGGCAGCGTCCCACATGCCACAACTAGGAGGACTCACAACAAAGAATATACAACTACGTACCAGGGGGCTTTGGGGAGAAAAAGGAAAAAATAAAAAAATAAAATAAAATCTTTAAAAAAAAAAAAGTCCCAACAAAAGAATGAAGAGACAATTCCTAAGGGAAGAAATATGACACCTTAAAAAAGCAAAGAAAACCAGTTGGAACTCACAAATAATTAAAGAAATGCAAAATAAAGCAACAATGAGACACTCTTTCAATTATCAAATTAGCAAACATTTTGTTTTCTTTCATTAATGATAAAATTCAGTATTGGCAGGAGTTTAGGAAAATGGGTCTCTTTTGCATCGTTGGTAGGAGCATAAATTGTCACAGCCTCGCTGAGGGAGGGAGAGAAATTTGGGATCCTTCTCAGTGGCCCTTTAACCCAGGCTTCCTCAGTGTGTGCACCACAGGTAGCTGGTTAAACACACTGTGGTCCATCCACGTCTCGCCTTTAGAAATACATAGAAGAGACACTCAGTGTCATTGATGAAAAAGTAGATTACAAAATAATAAGTTCAATACAAATATAATTTTTGATTAAAAAATGCATAACCCTGAAGAACTAGATTTTTATGATGTAAAATTATTAAGTTTGAAATTTATTTTGCTTCCATGAATGTTGCTAATTTAAAACCCAACATAAAGAATTTCCCTAGCAGTAATTAGTTTATTCTACAAATATTTGTTAAACTCCTCCTGTGAGCCAGGCACTATTCTAGGTGAGAGATACAGAAGTAAATAGGACAAAATTCTGTTCTTATGTCTCTTTTGGTGGGAAACATAGACAATAAATAAGTAAAACATACATAAATAAGAGCATGATCATTTTATAGGGAAAATAAAATAGGTTACTGTGACAGAGACTGTCAACAGGCCAGGGGACAACTTTAGATGTGATGACCAATCTGATGAAATTACATCTAAGTTCAGACCCGAGTGGGGAGAAGGATTGAAATTCCAGGCAGGAGGGAGAGCAAGTGCAAAGGCCCTGAGGCAGGAATAATATTGGAATGGTTAAGACACAGAAATAAGTTAGTTCAGTACGGTGAGAATGTGTGTGTGAAAGTGAGCAAGAGAGGGGTAAGAAACGAGGTCAGAGGATTAGGCAGAGGCAAATCACAGACTCAGGCAGGCTGACTTTCATTCTAGGGCAATGGGAAGCCATTGGAGGACTTTATTGATAATTTGATAAAATACATATTTTTAAGGATAAAATAAAATCTAAACTTGTGGTAATATGCGGTTAATAAATTAACTTCACATGTACAATTTCATTTAATAAAACAGTTCTGTAGGGTAGGTGTTGTTTATTCTCGTCAGAGAGCTGTGTAGAGGCTCATAGAATCGGAGTGAGCTAGCCCTGGTCAGACAGCTGTAGGGCGGCATGACTGGGACGCAAATCCGGGGCTCCTGCATCCCAGGTAAATCACCAGGAATGAAAATAAAAAAGTCTTCAACACTGAATGTTAGTCAGTTGGTATGGCGGCTAAAATTCAAAATTACCATTATCATATGAGTAAATTGAATGAAAAAGTGAATTCTCCTGTCACCACTTCCCTGTAATACAGCCTTTTACGGAAGTAACCCTTAGTTACTCAGTCTGTGTCACCCACAATATTGCACCAGGACTGGAAAATCTGAGACTTTGGTTGCAACATTTGGCACCTTCGCTTCAGACGATCTTTAAGCCTTTTAAAAGATTGGCCTAAGTGGGCTGGATGTAGCCTCTCTTTCGAAAGGGCCACACAGCCCTAATTCCCTGGGAACATAGCTATAGGAGGACTGAGCACCTATTCCGAAACAGAGGGACTGCCTTGAGCTGTGCTGTCGACACAGCAACATCATGCTTCAAGTCAGGATTGGTAGAAACATTTGTTTTCGATTTCAACCTGCTGTTTCACCATTCAGTCTTCATTTGAAAGGAGGGGCTCACTAAGCTGAGCCCTCTCGGCTGAGCCTTTTCCAGATGCTGCTGAAGCGACTCTGCAGCTCTCTGCTCCCTAATGGGGTCACGACAGCCACTTGCTGGTGCTTCTCCCTGTGCGGGGCACTGGAATCTTATTTCCCTCCCAGTCCATCCTCAGGTTTCCCTTGCTCATTGCTCCGGCAGCTGCAAGCTGGGGAAGCAGCCCATTCACTCAGTAGTCCCTGCTTTATCTCTGCGTTCCCAAAATGCTGTGCTTGGTTTGCTGGACTTCCCCTAATCTGGGCCTTGCTAGCCTGCACTTACATTTTCTCTGTGCATCCGGATATCCTTCTGTAATGTCCTTCACACACTTAGCTCTCTGGGATCTGAGTTCAGCCTTCTTAAATAAGCAGGTAACTGACGTGAGATACCTACAGTAGTGAAATTCACAGAGACAGAAAGTAGAATGGTGGCTGCCTGGGGCTGAAGGGAGGAGGGAATGGGGAGCTGTTGTTTAATAGGAATAGAGTTTCAGTTTTGCAAGATGAAAAATTTCTGGAGATCTGTTGCACAACAATGTGAATATCCTTTACACTATTGAACGGTGTGCTTAAAAATGATTAAGATGGTAAATTTTATACCACGTATTTTTTTTTTTTTTTTACCACAATTGAAAAACAATAAGCAGATAAGCAGTGAGTCTGGTCTGCCTATGGTCTGCCGCCCCCTTCTCCTCCAGGCCGTCCGCTCAAATATGGAGCTCTGCTTCCTTGCGTACAGTTCTGGCCTTTGGTAATGAGACCCCTTGTCCTCTCGCTTGG